TGGGATCCAATCCAGGAGAACGGCCCCAGCTCTCTCACTGAGAGCTACACCGACGCCAGCAAGACCGGAAGCCGCAGGCTCAGGGTCCCCAGAGAGACGTAATTGAAACTTTACAGATGGATTAGATGGGGACGTCAATCGGATAATGAAGCTGGAGTCTTGAATGCGAGTTTCTTGGATGCAACACACATTGATGACTACGGTTTTGAGCGTATGAGCTAAACACGCCTGTTGTCCTATACGCATCAGAGTGCGCACATTAGACGTCGAGAGCGGAGAAGGGCTTCAGCTGGTGGAGGATTCGGTGAGACTTGGACAGTAGTCGAGGTAGGATAAGAGCGAACAGCGGCAGAATTTCCGCCCGAGGCACTACTACTAGTACGATCGTCTGAAGTACCCGAGAGAGATGGAATAGAGTTGGGAGGGTAGAGGTGAGTTGGGGGGAGGCTGGGAGGACAAAAGGATGTGTGCGGTGTAGAAAGCTTTTCGATTGTTGAAGGTTTAGATTGCGAAATTATGAGAGTGAGAACGTTCATAGTTGTCTGCGTTGTGGGCTATTGTACTACTCAGTCGCCCAGTCCAGAGTAGGCTTTGTTCGAGGATGTACTCTAGCCTTTGCGCAACCAAGCGCGGACTGCAAGGCAGCAGTGATTTTCTAGATGAGCCGGTTTTCGATTTTCGGTTCATTCGCATCTTCTGGAAAACCTTGTCGGGCAAAAGAAACTTGACAAGGGGCTATGGTCGTATTTTAGTGGTGGGCCAAACTCGTCACGTCACAGCGCTGTCCACAGATATGTGTGGTGCTTTCTGCGGAGAACCATTTCCAGGAGTTGAACCCACCACATCCTCGATTGCTGCCGCTGATCATCTGCGACCGCTTATTCGGAGGACCGAAGCCCATCTTATTCACGGTTAGCCGCGAGTTGACGGCCGTTCCCCTATCCGCGACCTGGGGACGCGCTCGGTAGCATACAGCTCTGCTCTCCGGAGGTTTTCGAACCAGAAGCTGAAGCAGGAGAGGATTGTAGGAAAGCCAAAGCATCAACAATTTTAATGTCTGAAGGCTAGTTCACAAACCGCGACACTCCATACAATGAGCGGCGCTTACCTGATAATACTGCGCAACAACGATGCGGTGTTAAATCTTTTGGCTGCAATTTTGTGGTTTAACACTTCTGAGAATTCATGGCAGTTGGGTGGCGAATACAATTCTCATTGCGAACCACGTTTAACAGGAATTTAGCCATGACAAAGCGAATTGGCATATGTTGTTCATTATTTTCTGGATCATCGGTCTAACCTGGAGAGTCAGGCCACACACGCAGTTTGTCTGAAAACTCAAACCTGAAGTTCATGCAATCCATCAGTTGGTAGGGTGTTTGCACAAGGTTATATATACAACCCTTGATCATTGCACAGCGTAATACAGCGAAACGGACCTCATTGATCACTGCCTAACTCATAATACATACAAGGTAAGCGAAATTGTGTAAGGTGGATGAGGATTGGGTCTACTTCTAGGTTCGGGGAAAGAAAGTGAACATTTATGGTCAATACAGATTACACAGTGCGACTGGGCATACATAAACTTTCAAGCATTCTGATAAGAAATGACCACAAGAACACCACTGATGTCGGCTTACTTCCATTACCTTCAATGTCTCCAACCATGCGGTTACAGAGTCTTTTGGGCCCCAACCAGGAAGAAAAGTCACACCTACTCTACCTATTCACTCTGTGCATTTATTCATGCGTCGTCTCCATATCTTCTGGCCTCCACATAGCTTTCTCTAGTCTGCAGCTCTGCTGCAAATAAAGCGCGGTGTGGTAGGCGACTGTTAGAAATAAGCAAAACGTGTCTTAACCAACTGCGCCTATTGAGCTGAATTTGGTGCGATAGCGAGTTCGTGCTTGATGCATTCCCAAACACCCGACAACTTACTTCTAGCTTACTAACCCGCTCACTCCATCCCAGCTGGGCCAGACTACGTAAGCATCGATTGTCGAAAACCACTAAGCGACGGAAGTCTTCTACCCGCAAATGCAAGTTCTTACTCCGGGAGAGCAGGTTTGTATGCTACCGAGCGCGTCCCCAGGTCGCGGATAGGGGAACGGCCGTCAGCTCGCGGCTAACCGTGAATAAGATGGGCTTCGGTCCTCCGAATAAGCGGTCGCAGATGATCAGCGGCAGCAATCGAGGATGTGGTGGGTTCAACTCCTGGAAATGGTTCTCCGCAGAAAGCACCACACATATCTGTGGACAGCGCTGTGACGTGACGAGTTTGGCCCACCACTAAAATACGACCATAGCCCCTTGTCAAGTTTCTTTTGCCCGACAAGGTTTTCCAGAAGATGCGAATGAACCGAAAATCGAAAACCGGCTCATTTAGAAAATCACTGCTGCCTTGCAGTCCGCGCTTGGTTGCGCAAAGGCTAGAGTGCACATATTGCGTATGCTTAGCCGTCGTCTGCCGCACTGCGCTGTATTCACTGTAGCTAATCCAGGCTGGAGGAAAACACATGGAGGTCAACAGATGACGTGGAGACGAGGCATGAAGAAATGCACAGAGCCTTTAGGTAGAGTAGGTGTCTCGCATCTTCCAGTTTGGGTTACGAAAGATTCCACAACTGGTTGGTTGAAGACATTGAAGGATATGGCATTTAACCGACAGCAGTGGCGTTCTTGTCGTTTCTTATTAGGTCAGAATGCTTGAAACGGTATGTATGTATGCAGAGTTCGATTGCGTACTCACTGTGTTGACCATAGAGGTTCACCTTCTTCCCCCTCCCTCAAAATAGCTCCACTCCCTGTCCACCTTAAATTTTACCACTAATCTTGTATGCATTGCGAGTTTGGCAGCGATCAGTGAAGTTCACCTCACTGTATTTCGCTGTACGATAATGATGATGACCGCGGGAGCCAGTAAGTGTTTACACAAAATTCAAAATGCGTTGATAACTAAAACCACTGGTTCCCTCGTTTCAATATTACAGTTCGATGAGCATCGAGATGCTCTAATACTGGGAAATTTTCGACTCGTAAAGTGATTCGGATGATCACACCGAAACGTATGTCAACCACTAAACGGATCTGCACCTTGGAGTAGACACAATTCAAATCATTAGTACCAATATTCTCCTGGTTTCCATTCAGAGAAAACAATATATATATATATATGCAGTTTATTGATTTAGGTCTAACCTAAATTACATTTTATGGGTAAATGATTGCAACTTATACTTGGGTCTGGTAGGACAAATAAATATTGCGTTGCCTTCGCAGGTGACTTGAAAAGAGACTCCTGAATTCATCAAATGAGCATGTGGCTATCCACTAGCAAGCGATGGCCTAATGAGTAGGATCTGTCCAGATAAACCAGTACATCGTCTGCACCAAAACAAAGCGTTCGAACAGACCAGCATATCCTATTAGTAAAACTTTACACGTTCAATGTGCGACCTCATCTGACCGTACCATCATCCGCATTGCTTGGACTAGATATCAATACGCCCGGAATTCTAATAGGGAGTATGAAAGGTTGGCTGTTCAGACCTCGAATAAATTGGATTTCATGAAAGCTTATTGCATTGCCCACGTGATCTTGATGCGAACACAGAGATGCAAGAACAACCGTACTAGTGAGAACGCTAGTAACACTGTGCAAACCAAAGGAGAAATGAGATGAACTGTAAGAAAAAGGATTAGTACAGTTATGCAGTGCAATTTAAAAGTGATGACCGTGAATTCCCCTGTACACAGATATCTCATATAGGCGATTAAACTTTTGACCAATTATATAGTATAGAGTGGAATAACACGAAGCTGTACGCGATACACTGATGGAATAAATCATCTGCTTAAGAACGCAACCCCATATCACAAACCTGAACATAGGACGTAGTAGTCACAGTGTGAATCATTATCTATTGTAGAGAAGCAAAATTTACTTCTTAATTTCGAGTGGATATAGCGATAGAAAATGAACGCGTCGGCAGGTTTTTATCGTGGGTCGGTAACGGTTTGGTCGGTTACTAGATTATGTTGATATGTTGTCCTTTCCACTGACCAAGCTTAAACATAAAATGTAGATGGAGCGTATCATTTGCTTGCCTCTGGTGCATTTCGCATTGGGTAGAACGTAACAAGTGTATTCAAGTTATTCAAAATAAAAAATGTTGGGCTAAATTGGCTACAGTGTAGTAAACTCATGTGACCAGAATGATTTACTTGCTTTCCGGATATGAGGATGTTGGCGGATCATGGGTTAAAATCATGTCATTTTCCTTAATTTAGAGAGAAGGGTTTCATAGTTTTATTTAGTCTTGCTGATTGAAGAGAGAGAAAGCGGACCAGTTTCAGTAGTCAATCCACGTTTGGTTCATTATAATAATAACCCTGATTGCCCGATACACAAGATGTCCTACCTCTCACATCTAATTTGGTGAACGAACCCAATTTTCCGAACCCGATCACTGGATGCCCCCGGGTTAAGCAGAGCTGAATGCTACCAGGCGTGTCCCCGGGTTGTGGATAGGGGGATACCCTCACCGAAGAAGGTTAGCTGTGAATAAGTTGTGGTATACCGCAAGAAATCAGCAGTCGCGAACAAACAGCGGCGGCACTACCAGGGTGTGGTGGATTTCAAGATGGTTACCTGTCTCCCCTTTAAAAGCCGCACAAGCCCAATGACGGTGTCGTGACAAAGGTCGATATGTCTGGCCTTTCGAGGCGAGGGATTACTTCCTGCTGCTTTGCAGTTCGCACTTGGTTGTGCAAAGGCTAAAGGTACACCCTCAAAATAAAAGACGCCAAATGACGCTGGGGACGTTTCTCGTACCAAACTACCAAGGAACTTTATGATCATGTCTGGAGCCAGCCGCAGTAAAGTAAAAGTAAGTAAACCATTTCACTGAAATAACAACCAACTTTGTTTACCCGCTGGCGATAGAGTTTTTTCGTTATCCCTGAGACAGGTAACTGCTTTCTACTCAGGCTCTTTGTTCAACACCTACCATCAGTGTACCCTATTTGACCACTTCAACCAGTGTTTGGTGCGTTCGGATTGTGAACTCGTGGCCATTTTGACAGTGGAAAAATACAGTGTCACTGAGAAGCCGATGGACACATGCATGAACACGTGTGACGTAAAATGAGTCCATGGTTTGTGTGTTTATTTTGTGAGCGGTCCAAACCGAGAACATTGTGACAAATTGCATATTTGCGTAATAGGTGCGTATGAGATGGAACGGTCAATGTATTTTTGAGCCGAGGCAAGCACGCGTCCACATAAACACACACAAACGAAACTGAATGAACCAGAAGTACCTTAAGTAAATCATGCACCGCATTGATACACATTTCCGGTGGACGATCCGCCGGTAGGACAGGTTTATTGATCACTTTTACCAGACAGTGGATCATTGTACGAGGTCTGCGTTTCCGTTTTGAACAATACCGCTCAATTGTGCTGTTACAGTGCAACATGAGGTCCGGTGAGAGCTGTGAAGAAAAAGTTATGGGACCAAAAGACAGACAGACAGACAATAGTAAAACTCCACGCAAAGCAAGGTGACGAAAACGGCAAATGCATGCAATCAGTGTTATCATTATTTCTTATCGCTGTGATAACGTTCATAATTACTGTAGCAACAATAAACAGAATCGGTTAAGTTAGGTAACGGGTCTGATAACGGTGTTTGTGAATAGATGGAGGTTCAGTAGCTCACGATAGGTGGTTATGTATACGGAACTATAGAATGGATATTTCGCTGATTAAAGACAGTTCAATATAAGGTAGTGAGAGAAACAATCGAATAGGTCGACGGATTCGTACTGATGATGAATTTTTCATTGCTCTCATGTAAAAACAATAAAGACAAATAAAATCCTTGAAAATGATGCTTAGAAGAACAACTTCGTTAAAAAAAGTTTTCTCAGTGAGATAAATACCAAGATGGATATGATCCGAATGGCAGGAGCAGGATAAAATTCTTATGATTTGCGAGAGGAAGAACCACACATGATGAATCTTCAGGTAAATATCGAAGGGTAGAAAATAAAACCAGAGCACAAAACTGCAAGTTTAACAGCAGAGTAAGAGAATGGTTTAAGTCGACCTCGAAGAAATTATATGTACGATGTTCATCGTTGGAAAACACCATATCAAGAGGATTGTGTTAATGAGATTCTGTTTTGGGGGAGAGTTTGGAATGCACCGAAAATCTTTTCCACTCAAGTATTTATATAGGTAAGTACAGCTTGGGCGGGAGCATTCAACATTACCAAACATCATCTCTACCCAGGAATACCGGACACACAAAAAACCTGCGTCATCTATCACTCAACATCCGTTAATGACGAACCATGATTTGAATCAGACAAGCCGAATGAGGATCACTTATGTTAACATCACCTTCCAGCTGTTTAAGCTCGGTTGCAATCAGAGGATGGAAACCTGGCCTTTGTGTGCCGTGCAGTGATAAAAAGTGTGGCCATTCGACACTGTCCTTTGTGTGTAACTGTTGTTTTCCGTCGCATTGTTCCAGGAACCTATTTGGAAAACTGATTGTACCAGTTGAGATACAGCGAAATCTGCCTTGGCATAAATCGTGAAGCCTAGCTTTTCTGTGCTCGCTCTTCAAGTTTATCTCGAAATGTTTAAAAATGAGAAAAACCGGAGAACAGCGAAGTAACAAGCGAGGAGTATAATCAATAAAATATTTCTGAGCTTTTATTACTAACCGCTATCTCATGCATTTGCATGGATACACACGGATCGACGAATACAGAGAATAGAAGCGGCTACTTACACGATAGTCTTCGAGGAGCTCTCGTCTCAATTCAGTCAACTCGGCCTTACAAGTCGGGAGCAGGTGTCGTGGTGGAATGAGTTTGTTATCGTCAGTGAGCCTGGGCTTTTCCACCGCTTCCAAGCAGAGCATCAGATGGGCGAGATTGGCTCCGGATTTGTTTTCCGAGATACATTTGGCATTGGCAATGTCTACAGCGCACGATTCGGCAAATCGAAAGTTGATTCGATAGTCCGATGCAATCAGAATTTGCCTAATTGAAACGTAAGATTGATAGTTATATATATATATATAATAAGATATAACCGGAGTAGTTGTGCGTGAATCATACAAATATGATAGGTAATTTGGTTAACAAATCATGTCCGTTTCGAATGCATACTAATACGGTAAAAAGAGTCCGGTAGGTGATCGGTGAAGTAAACAGGTGGTAAGTTCGATGATTGGGCCGCAACGTCATGGTATTCTGGTTTTAAGGAGAAGCTAAAATGAAAAGGATTTTACGACAAGCGCTGGGTTTTGGCTAAAAAATTACTTGACTTGCCGTACATAAAAGGTCTCTGCGTCTGCTTATCGGTGTCGAAATTCTTTTTTATTACACAGAAGTGAACATAGTAAAAAGGTAAATTCCATAGTCCAAGGATAAACTGCACATGAGGGTAAAGGGAATACTTAAGGTAGAACCAGCCTGTCCATTCAGCATTTGAAAATAAGGGAATTGTAAGTTAGAAGGAAGACCGAAAAAGAGAAAGTTTTCTATTGTTGTGTTCTTGGGGAAAACGACTGAAAGTTAGAAACACTACGCTTGGGGATCGCCACTCAGAATGGATGAGTAGCCGATTGTATACGGAACCTAAGAAGGGAGAAGGACAGAAGAAGCAAGCTTGGTAGAACGAAAACTAAAATATTATCGGTAGAATACGAACAACGAACTGTTCGTCGGTGAACTGATTAATGCAACTCACATGTTGGGAATGGGACTTTGAGGAGGCGACTGGTCTTACGTTGAGTCCCAATAACAAGAAAAAGAGAATTGCAGGAAGCTACACATAACACACGACGTTATTATTTAAATGTAGGGCGAATCTGAGCTTTGTAAAGTGAGAAGTTAATAAGGAATGAAGAAAGTGCGGAAGAGAAAGCAAATGTTGCGCGCAGCGGGAGGCAAGTAGATAAACAAGCGGTTATCGTGAAACAGAAGAACGCAAGGATAATCCCCACAGGTAACACGGACAGAGAACATTATCATTATCATCGTACAGCGAAACACAGTGAAGCGAAATTCGCTGATTGCTGCCAAAGGAGGAGAAAAATTCAAGATAAGAGACACGGAAATAAGAGGTTTAAAAGGTATTAAAGATGACACAGTTACGATAGCCCGTCGACTCCATATGGTTTTTGTAAGTCCCGTGAAATGAGAATCTGACGTATCTTTCTGATGGAAATGAGTGTTGTGAAAAGATAGGGTATATGGAGAGTTAAATGGATGGATTTTTATAAAGATCATTGTACCGTGATTTGTTTGGCACACAGTCTGGACTCAGGCGTGTGAAATACACACACACAAATGGATGATTCGGGTAGGGTGAAGTTGGAAGCAAATTAGGAGGCAAATATTTGGGCTTTTTCAAGCAGGTCGGACGCCAAGTCACCAGTTGGTTTAACAATAGATAGGAAGTCAGTATTTGTATTTGTATTTGTATAGACTTTTGCGAGAACAGAATGTTCGCATTTCAGTTAAAAATTTACACATCCCATAAATAGAAGGAGAGATACAAGTAAAATATTTAGCCTTTAAGGTTACTGAGAAATTCGGAGGAAGCGCGCTCTCGGTTTACAAGGATTCTGGCAAGATAGGGAACTGGGGAATTTCTGTAGAGACTAATGCGAGAGGGTAATAATCGATAAGAAGAACGTGTCGACGTATGAGAGCAGCATTTAGATAAATCACCATGTAAAGGATGGTTGGGGTCAGCGAGGATTTTCTGGGCAAACGTTTCACATGCGGACAAGTGAAGTTCACAAAGTTTTTTAGATAGCTCATCTACGGGTATAAAAGACACACGATTGATGATCGACAAACCGCGACGAAGATTTTTGAAGTCTTTCTTTAGTAGACCAACAAAAACCACCGGAGAACAATAAAGAAGAACGGGAAAAACACATTGATAAACAAAAAGTGAAGTGTTTTTTTGCTTGGCATTGAACTGCCTAAGTCTTGGAAGTTGAAAAGATAATTTGCGAAGTTTCTGTACAGAGTTGTAAATATGGGATGTCCACTTTAAGTTAGTGTCGATTGTAAAGCCCAGATACTTCACTAGTTAGGGGAACCGTATTTATGACAGACGAATCACAAGGATAAACAGATCGAGAAAGGGAGAAAGTGCATTCGAAGCACTTGGATAAATTAAGAGACAGTCCAGAACGAGCGGAAAATTCATGAATATGCAATAGATTATTCGAGAAATGTAAAAGGTCCTCAGGCACAGAAATGGCTTGGCAAAGGGCTACGTCATCAGCGTATTTAAATAACTGGGCTGGAGAACTCGCAGACAGATCACTGATGTAGGTGGAAAACAAGA